GAATGGAAGGGGAGGGGAGGGGCGCGAGGGAGGGCGGGAAGAGGAGAGCTGGGAGAGGAGAGGTTGGCTGGGCCAGAGGTAGGGTGGAAAGGGCAGGAGCGTGGAAAGTGGAAGAGACAGCTGGGGAAATGCCGGGCCACGTAGGGTGACGTGGTAAGATGGGCCCTGGGTGCTGGCGTTGCTCTCCTCCCCTCCTATCTCTTAGCAGGGCCCTAGTGCGATACTATGGACCGCCCTTCTGCACCTGGCTGGCTCAGGCTCGTAGGCAGGTCCCCAGGTACCCAGTAGATTGAACTGAAGCATGGAGGGGTTCCCTGTGTGGCCCTGGATGCAGAGTGATGGGGGCGAATGACCCTAAGGAAACAGAATCTAGCCAGCTAGACACCTTACTGGCTCAGAACCAATGACTGCCATCATCCTGACCCCCTCAGAGCCAGTTTAGAAGGCCCAGAATTAAATGGGCAGCTAAATCAGGTAATAATTAATATACCATTAGAGAGAGATTGGGCCTTCAAAGAAATCACCACAAAAAATAAAAGACAACAAAATCATAGCTGGAGGTGCAAAATGGAGACACAATGGCCAGGCTTGCATGCCTTCCTGAGGGACAGACAACAATTTGAGATTATACTATAGTTAGCACCACCTGTCCAATAATTAGTCCAGCTAGGCATCAGATGCTCAGGCGAGTGACCAGAGCATCTGGACCCATCCCTTCCCCCAAAATGATTTTGTTCCTTCTGTATACTCTTGCTATATGACTTGTTTGCTATTAGTACAGTATTAGCTAAACAGCTGTACTTAAATGCCACTCCCTTATATATGGTATCACACAAAGCCAGCAAGTTGCCAAAAATCTTTATAACACAGACTTCTTATTTACAAGTTCATTGCCTATATTCAGGACAAATAACATAACTGACTGTTACAAAGGATCCACTTGTCAAAAATAGGCTTTTGAAAGGAAAATTTAGAGCCGGGTATTTAGCTCAGTGGTTCCGGCACCTGCCTCGCAAGCACAAGGACCTGAGTTCAAACCCCGGTACCAAAAAAAAAAGAACAAGCAAAGTTTATTCCAGTGAACATGTACTAAAATCAGGAGATTTTAGCAGCTAGGAAAAGCCTAGTTTATCATATCCGTGTGTGGATAGGCTGACACTGGGACAGAGATAGTAGCAGCTAGCTGGGAGAGATTTCATACATGAGTGGATGGGCTAACACCAGGAGAGAGAGGTATTAGCAATAACTGGGAAAAGAATTACATAGGTTTGGGGGAAGGGGCTACAATCATAAGGCATTTTTATGACTTGGATGTCCAAGGATGGTCTGCTCAGGTGTGTACACAATTACTGGACTTCTCAGTGCCAGGGGTTACTTCATTTTGAGTCCATTTGCCCTGTTTGCTAAGAATTTGCTGTTTGCTAAAAGCAGCCTGTTTGCTCTATACCGATTGTGAAGGACTCACTTAAGCCTGACACTGACTCTGTAGGGAGCAGAAGGCCAGAATGAAACTGGCCATTTTGGGTACCCTGAGCACCCATCTAACTCTTAGTCTACCATAAGACTTCCATGTGGTTTCCTTGGTGAGAAATGTGGAGCATTGTACTCTTAATCTACTGCAACAATGTATGCTGCAGCAACAAGCCGCTGATAAGCTCCCCCCTCCCCTTATAGGGGCTTGCCTCTGGCTCTATCCCCTCCAAGGGTGAGGAATCTTGGGCCTCTGGAGAAACATACATCACCAGTTTCAGGACCTCCCGTAGTTCTGCCCACAGGAGCTGGCAGACAAAATACTGGGCTCCACTTTGCCAACGTAGGAGTCTGGGCAGTACTACTCCAGGGTTCAGAGGTCCAATCTTGGATGCATCCTGCTCTCGGGTAGGAGATCCTAATGACCACAAGAGCTATCTCAGTATGCTTTTAGTAGCTATCAGAGCCGCATATGCCTCTGCCAGCTGTTTGTCTACCAGTATCATTCTCTTTCTACAGTTTGCAAATGGAACTCTATTACTTGTCACAACCATTCTGACTTCTGCCACAATGCCCACCCCAAACCATCCATGGACACAAACACCTATATTCCAGCTCACATGGTTGGCCCGGAGTGGAACCCTCCAGGTGCACCTAGTGTGGGGAAGTTAGAGCTCTCATACACTGCTGACAGGAGCATGAAATGATGTAGTCACATACATCCCAACCCCATGGCTTGCGGGGACGGGGTGCCTACTAGGGATCAAACCTAGGGCCTTGCATATGCCAAGCTAGCTCTCTACTACTACTACTGACCATCCCCAGTCACACATGCAGCCACTTTGGAAAACAGTCTGGGGGTTCTTCAAATGGTTAAACGACAGACCTACTTGCAGGTATATGCCCAAGAAAATGAAAACATCCCACCACACAGACACTGGCCGAGGGCAGGAGATCAGAACGGATGCCTGCTACTCGGGACCGAGGGGAGCCCGCACAGCCTCGCCCTGGAAGGCCAGATCTGCCGGCGCTGTTCTGCCCAACCTCAGAGCCCAGACCAGCTCCGCTTGGCTCTTTGTTTGCGGCGGTGCAGTTGGGATGCGCAGCAATCCCACTGCTCCCAAGCAATTTGAAACTTGAGCTCCGCCTGTCCGACAGCGGGCCTGCCCGGCCACGCCACGCCCCATCCGCTTCCGGACTGTTCTCGCGACAGCGAGCTGTGCTACTCAGCTCCACGAGTAAAGCTAGTATTCCCCGGAGCTATGGCTTCTCTACGCGCCGTGCTGTCCCGCGTCCGGGGCCCGCTCCGGCCTCTGTCCTGCTGCCCCGCCCTGCGTCCGTTCGCTTCGGGTGAGTGTGGGCTAAGCGCAGAGGTCCATTACCTCCCACCCCATCTACCCTGTCTGACCTGCACCAGGTCCTGGTCTTACACCTCCTGCTTGATCCTACAGACCCTCAGCCCCAGACCGCTGACCCTCTAACCTCACTGCCTCACACCCCTGGCTCCTTCTAGCCCCAGCCCACCCCGCCCCCAATGCCTGACCTCAGCCCCCACCTAATCCTGGCGCCTGTCTAGGGCTGTTCTCAAGAGAGCACCTGGTGGTCACTGGCTGCTTCTCAACTCTGGTACCTGACAGAGCCAGGACCTCGGGCCAGCGACGCACTTGGAGGTTGGTTGTAAAATTCCATCAGTGTTTAGGAGGCTTTAAGAAAATGGCAGTCCTGTGGCGCAAGTCTTAACCCCGGGTCCACTCCTCCCAAGCCTGTCCTTCAGACTGTCCAATCAGAAGTTCCTGTGCTCGTGCCCGCCTTCCTTCTGCTGCCAACTGGATTGTCCTCCCTTCTCCTCCCCTCTTCTCTTGGCTCACCTCCAGCTGGAATCCCTGGTGCTGTGATCCACTGGGCAATTTCAAGGAATTCTCGGTCATAACCCAGGGCTGGGGCTCCTGTGTATCTAGTTAACTGCCTGTTTGTATTGGCCCCACCCTCCATTTGACTGTCCACTTCTGCACCCCACCTGGAATTGGCAGTCATTTCCTGGCTCCTGTAGATGACAGGCATGCTGCTCTCCAGCACTTCACATGTGATAATTCAATTTCACTTACTTGCCTGCAAGCCCGTGAAACACCTGTGCTACTGCAGAGGGAACTAATCACCCATCAAGCCCTCACTTTGTCATGCTCACCTTCTTCCAGTGGAGTCTGCTCCCCACAGGTCTGAGCTGATGACCCTTCTGGGCCATGGTGGTCACCCGAGAGCAAAGTGATCCCTTCTCTTATTCTCTCACCATGCTGTCCACCCAGCATAGGCACGAAGTCTGTCCTCCTCTTCCCAGGCATTTTTTGCAAGAAGACCTTTCTCTGTCCTTAGAGATGGGCTCTGAGAATAGTTAACCAAAGCAAATAGGAAGGAGAATGGCTGTGCTCTGTGCCGGGGGTTTCCTTTAGGTTAAGGAAACATTCATGCAGATGTCAAAGCAGAGAGCAGTTGTGAAGGGAGCTGTAGGCAAAAGCATGAGGACTGGGCTGGGTGTCTCAGAGGACCTCACAGGGTCTCTGTGTTTGTGCTTTTGACGCCTACCTGATGGAGACCCCTTTTGCCCTCTTCCCTTAGGTGCTAACTTTGAGTACATCATCACAGAAAAAAAGGGGAAGAATAGCAATGTGGGGCTGATCCAGTTGAACCGCCCGAAGGCACTCAACGCGCTCTGCAATGGCCTGATCTTAGAGCTCAACCAGGCACTGGAGTCCTTTGAAGCTGACCCAGCTGTTGGTGCTATCGTGCTTACCGGCGGGGATAAGGCATTTGCAGGTGTGCTGGGCAGAAGTGGTGGCAGGAATGGGAGGGATATCATTGCCCGTGGGAAGCAAGACAGACTGGCCCCTCCGTGATGGCATGTGACTTAGGATTTAATCAAATATAAGGTGTTAAACATTCACATGTGCTGTGTCAGCAGGACGAGCGTGTTCAGTGGGAATCCAGTCCTTACTGGTCAGGTTAAGTGGCTGATGAATGAACTGGGCCTTCTGTGGCATCAGTTACCTGCCCCTCAGCCTTCTGCATTACTTTGTCTTAACAGATGTTGCAGTGTGTTGCTGGCCTTGTGTCAGGACTTGCTTAGGGTCCCTAAGTTAGCTACCTATATATTTGGGGATATGGGACCTTATGCTGTCTGGTAACTGCATCCTCATTTCCATTCCTAGCTGGAGCTGATATCAAGGAAATGCAGAACCGGACAATGCAGGACTGTTACTCCCACAAGTTCCTAAGTCACTGGGACCAGCTGACCCAGGTCAAGAAGCCAGTCATCGCTGCTGTCAATGGTTATGCTGTGAGTGTCAATATCAGGGGTCCCCATCTGCAAAGGTGGGGCACAAAGGATGTTAGAAAGAAATGGGCTTTTGTGAATAAAATGTACAGAGATTCTTATCTTAGAAAGGTATTAAGTATGATTCCCAGGCCAGTGGCCCCTCTTCCGCCAAGTAAGGAGAAAGAATCTTTTGACATCTGTTTTGTTTGTTGCTCAACTGCTAATTCTTCCCAAATGGGTTAATGGATTTTTCTATATTGATTTAAAGCTTCCTGACTTCTCTGCAAGAGTAGCACATCCTCTACTGGGTACTTCAGTGTCCTTGCATAATACTATTAGGAAATGCCAGGACTGGTTTGACCTGTGGAGAAGTTACACAGTTGTTCCGCATGGTGTTTTGGGGGGTTGCATTGTTGTTGTTTTATGATACTGAGGACTGAACCTAGGGCCTTCACTCTGAGCTACATCCCTGGCCCTTTTTGTTTTTTGAGACAAGGTCTTCCTAAGTTGCCCAGGGTGGGCTCAGCCTCCCAAAGTGCTAGGGTCATAGGCATGTGCCCATGTGGTGATTATTTAAAGAAGCCCTTTCCATGTGAGCCAGGGGTCAGCCACACCCATTTGTGTCCACATCCCCTGTGGCTGCTATTGAACCACCAAGGCAGAGCTTGGTATTGATGCAGAGCCAAGATCGTTTACTGTCTGGCTCCTTGCAAAAAGTTTGCTGTCCCTGGTGAAGTAATGTATCCTAGGACTTAACTAAATTTGTGCTGCTCGGTTAATTTTTGCCATATCCCCAACTCTGAATCATTTTACTAGAAAAGTTCAATAAGCAGACAGCAATTTTTCTGATTAGGCTCTTCTAGTAAAACTTGTCCACTGCTCAATATTGTTTTACAGCTCGGTGGGGGTTGTGAGCTGGCCATGATGTGCGACATAATCTACGCTGGTGAGAAGGCTCAATTTGGACAGCCAGAAATCCTGCTGGGTACCATTCCAGGTGAGAACATGCACCTCTAGTGTACACTGTGCAGGTGATTCCTCATGACCAGCCCATGCCTTGGGAACAATAGCTTGTACTTGAGCAGAGATCCCAGAAGTGTCTGGTCAGTGTTCTGCAAACAAGTACGTGGGACGGTGGACACGACAGAGCTCAGAGACGGTACCTGGGGGTCTTGGGTCACATCCAACTCCTGTGATTACAGCTGGATCCTATGTCTCATGTTACACAATGTTACACATTGGTTTACAACTACAGTGGTTCTCTCATGCTGGTGACTTGTACCTGTACCAGATCCCTATAGGTCAGCAATTAGGAAGAAAGAACAGTGACCTTGGACTGGCTCCAAGAGCTCTGCCTCGCATGGCTTTAGCCCTATCCAGTCCTGCATCACTAGGAATTAGGACCTCCTGGGAAGGGAGCCTGAGATACTGCAGAAAGAACAATGCCAACAACCTGCTGGGTCCACCTAGTAAACCTGGGAGGAGAGGGATCTCCCAGGAGGAGGAGACGACCATGCTTGGAGGTCCTCTACTTCTATCTAAGATTTTTATTTGTTTTTCTGCTTACTTGTTTGTTTTGCATTACTAGGGATTGAACCCAGGGCCTTTGCACATGCATACCCTCCCCCTTTTATTTTGAGACAGCATCTCATTAAGTCACTAACTTACAGTCCTGCGTCGCCCTCCCAGAGTGAGGAGGATAGCTGATGTTGGGGATCCAGCACATGGGGTCAGGGAGAGACTGAGGAGGGCCTACAGCCACTGTGTAATGCTATTCTGAGATCAGGGGGCCTAAGTTTGGAAAGGGGCCTTCCCCTGAGATTTTTAGTTTCTTCTGCTTGTCCTACCTGCTGACTGCATCAGTTCTGTCTGCCCAACTCTAGGCCCTTGTCTTAGGCCTCTTCTTCTGGCTCTATGATCTTGCCTGTAGCACATCTATGGTTTCTTCCCTTTTTCTTTTCTTTTCTCTTTTTGGTGCTTGTATGGAACCCAGGGCCTCAGGCATGCTAAGAATGTACTCTTGTCACTGAGCCACACCCAGTCTCTGTGATGTCTTCTCTCTCTCTCTCTTTCTCTTTTTTTTTTCTTCTTTAATTTCTTCCTTTTCTTTCTGTCTACCCCATCCTTCCTGTATGTCCCCCCCCGCCCCGCTCCAACCCTCTCTGCCTTCTGGGAATTGAATCACCCAGCCAAGGCCTTTTGCATGCTAGGCAGGCTTTTCTACCACTCTACATCCCAAGCCCTCTGTTTTCTTACTGGCTGCACTCACCACAGATCCAGCTAACAAGCAGCCCCCTCCTTACAGGTGCCGGGGGCACCCAGAGACTCACCCGCGCAGTTGGAAAGTCACTGGCAATGGAGATGGTCCTCACTGGTGACCGCATCTCGGCCCAGGAAGCCAAGCAAGCAGGTAGGTCCAATCTGCCCTTGGGAGCTGGTCAGAGACTAAGTCTGTATCAGGAATCTTGGGGATAATCAGTAATAGAGCTTTTGGGTCTTAAGGATCCAGGAAGCTGACTGCCTTGGTTTTAAGTTTTGAAATATTTCACATATGAGAGAGTGATGACATTTCTCAGGTTAAAAAGTAATAATGCAATATGTCATTTCCCATAGTCCAGCATAGTCAATGGGTATCTCCAGAGCCCTTACAGCCTGACCCTTTCCCTGCCCTGTTGGTGACTGTGGTCCCTTTATCTTCCTGCCTGTGCTAACTGATGTCATGGGTAGCCTGGGCTGCATGGCTGAGAGCTCAGAGACTGTGGCTGCTGAGGGCCCAAGACACATCCCCCACTCCCACCCCCAAGCTGCCTCTTGTTCTGCACTCAGATCCCTCAGCCCCTGGGTAGTCATTAAGTCTCCATGATAAATGAAACTGGTGGTCTGTTTCCTCATGTTTTTCACTACCTTTTTCATGTTTTAGGTCTTGTAAGCAAGATTTTTCCTGTTGAAAAACTGATTGAAGAAGCCATTCAGTGTGCAGAAAAAATTGCCAGCAATTCCAAAATTATAACAGCCATGGCCAAAGAATCTGTGAATGCAGGTAGGAGTCTGCCAGAAAAAGAAAAGTGAGGAGGATTCCTGGGACTGCAGACAGAATTGGAGGCACCAAATGACTGTACCTTAGCCTGTCTGAGGCAGAAATGGTAGGACTCTCAGGATTTTGATTTACTGTTAGAGCTCTGGTTTCTAGCTGTTCACTAATTGGTTGAGATGTTCTGACTGTCCCTCAAGAAATGAGCCACAGGAAAGCTGCTTGGGAAGTGACAGTGACACAGCTCCAGGCAAGGAGGAAGAGGCCAAGGAGAAAGCCATAGTCCAGAGTCAGGCTTGTCTCTGGCTCCTAGGACCTGGGTTGTACAGTTCCTATCCTCAGTTCCATGATGTGGTTATGCAGATGTTCTACAGCCT